AAAAGAATTTTGAATTTTTTCTATGTGTATAAACGTGCTGATTTTTGTAGATATGGTGGTCCATACACAACATTATCAGAAAATAAGAGTGATAACTATAGTAAATTTAAAGCCAGAAAGCATCTAAAATTCAATAAAACATTAGATTATGGAGAATATTTTCCTAATTTTTTAAGATTCTTGAGTACTTAAAAATTATATATAAAAGGCGCTCGCATTATATTCAGTTATTTTTTATGACTACCACTGTGTTAAAAAATTGCATTTCTCTGATATTTTAAACAAAGTAAATAATATTTGTTTCAAATCATATTAATTATACATTAAATCAGTTAATGATTCAGAAACGTATATTTTATTTTTGAAAGATTTTTTAATGAAGAGAATTACATTGCAGTGAATGAAAGACAACTAAAAAGGGCAATAATCAACAATTTTAGGAAAAAAAATAATTAAAAAAAATCTTTCCAGTCAATTTAAATTAGTTTTGATATACAGCAAAGTATTTTACTTACTGGAAATATTAAATTTAAGCTATTATTAGCTTCAAATTAAAACTAAAATAAGAACTTCAAGAAAGGTTTTTCATTTTTAAAAAATTCATTTTAAACCTTAGTATCATGTTTTCTGAATCTATCTTGCATATCTATAAAGTCTACCATTCATCCACGCTTTCTATAAATACTTTAATAGTAATTGTCATTATGGTTCCTAGACTTTTTGAATTTAAGTGCAGCACTAGACTGGTGCTGATCTCATCAATTTACAATTAAGCTGGCTAGATTTAGCCATAAATTCTATAAAAGTTTCTTCTCTCACACTTCTCGCTTGTGGAACTCCCTTCCGGCTCCATGCTTTCCAGACAACTTTAATGTGCAAAAATTTAAATGCAATGTCAATTGCTATTTACTGACCACCTGATTATTCTCTTCTCCTTCGGCTCATCATTAATGTTTCTGTTCCTAATTCTTCCACACTCTGTAACCCCTTGTGTTTTAGTGGCATTACTACCTTGCTTACTACCATATATATATGGTGAGTGTGTCCGTCCAAGGGTACTGTAATGATCTTGATCCAACCCACTTCCCAAAATCTGATCAGAAAAAAAAAAAAAAAAAATATATATATATATATATATATATATTTTTTTTTTTTTTTTAAGGTCTCCTTGGTTCTTTTTCATCACACACCCTTGGGCATCTGATTACTTTCTGTACATGTATTTTAGCTCATTTGCAATGTCATTATAGATATCAATCATTAGAGTGAATGGCCATTTTGATATAATCCTATACAACAAACAGCTTAATATTAAAAAATTCCTAACCTCCAGCTGTAACAAATTAATAATTAATCGTTCCATTTATATATTTACTTGTATTGTCTATCTCATGACAGCATTATTTTATTTTATTAAGGCTAACAAGATACTTTTGCCATTGTGGGTAATTGTAGTTTTTGTTACATTTACATTATGCAAAGGCCAATTACTTTCATTAAGTCTTGATCATTGAGAATACTTAATATGAATAAAACCAATGGCCAGCAATAAGAAAATTTGAAACTTTGTCTTCCCAAGTTCAAATACAGTTGGCAGTAAAATTGGTATTTATTTTTTTTTATTTATTCATTCCTCCCACTAGAAATGGCTGCATCAGTTTGCAATGAGTGCTGACTATCAAAGGATAGTGCCTTCTTAATGTTAGGAATATACTTTTTCCATCTGGTTTTGTCCTTTTTGGTCTTCTGCAACTGTCCCATGAAATGCTTGTAAATTTAACTCGACCTTCATCACATGTCAATGATAAAAGCCTTCTCAAATAACTACTTCATTTTTAAACTGTGTTGACAGTGAACAGAGATACCCATTATAAACAAAAAGATTTTTACACTAAATTTTTGTCATTATTTTTTATTTCAAAATTAATTAATCATTAACTAAACTAATTTTCATATTCTATACTTCTATAATGGCTAAAATCTTTTAGTTACAGCATTATTTATTTCCATTTTTTATCATATATACTCATGTAGAAGACTACTTCATGTATAGTGTGACCCCTGAAGATGGGGGGGGGGACATGATTTTTTTCTTTCATATTTCTCATGTATAATGTGACACCAGCTTCTGAACAATACTAGTAAGCCTACTGTTGTCAATTATCATAGTACTAGGAATTACTTTGGACATATTTTATAGCAAATAAAAGGTTAGCCAAAGGTACCATGAGAATGTCGGCCTACCATGTAGATTATGGTCACTAAGAATGCATTAATTTTTTAAACCAAGAAAAAATTTACCTGTGTATAGTGCAATCAGTTATTGAAAATGCATGATTTTTAACCTCTTCAAAATAATTATCTGTATATAGTGTGTTCATCCATTTTTTGTGTAAAAAATTGATCATAAAAACTCACACTATACTCAAGTATATAGTATTCTATCAAAAAACATAAAACATGGTATAATCAAATTATTTACATTGTCCTCATCTTTATTGTTTTTATCACAATGTTTGAGCCTTCATCAGGGGTATGTCAATCCAGATAACTTACAGGGAATTTCAAACTGAACCCTTTATTTAATTTACAGGGGTAGACTGTTCTCGTTCTGCTGACCTTGCCTAGTAATATCTCTATGTTGTTTTCCTGCATTTAAACCAAAATTAAAACTTCAAAGGAAATATTTTATTATTGGGGGAAAAAAAAAAAGAAAGTTTGTGATCATTACTACAATTTGTAAATTTTCTGTACCTATCTAGTTGAAATGAACAAGCTATAAGTTTATAGGGACTGCTCTGACAAGTTTTTTCCTTCCTGTGTGATTTTAAGCATGTTACTAGATTGGCATCTTGGTCCCACACTTTTTACTGTTGAAATAGTTAAATGTAACTGTCACTTCTCCTCCAACAGTTTCTTTTCTCGCACTTCCCACCTGTGGAACTCTTACATTTCCTTGCTTCCCTGATAACTATAATCTTCAAAAGTTTAAATGCAACTTTAATATTTTAACATTTTTAATTTATTTCTTAAACATCTTCACAATGTTTTTATTATGGTAACTATTACTGATAAACAAAGTTAAAAAAGAAAATTGTTTTGGTTTCAAAATGGTTCTAGAACAAGAGTTGACAAACATCAGACTGGATCCCTAGGATTATGTATACAAAATACAAAGGTGTACCCAATCTCTGAAATATAAACAGCAACATAATATATGTACACTGATTTATATAGATGTAAATATTTTTGAATTTAATCTCAAAACATTGTTATTTTATCCAATTAATTTTGGCTATTAATTCTCTTGTAAATATTTCTGTGAAAACAATTTTCAAGCAAAATATTAATTTTCATATTTAAAAACATTCCCAGATACCCACTGAATATTTTTGGATGCACCCCCCCCCTCTCAATCATTCAGTTGACTTCTTTTAAAGCAAGAATGGCTGACATTCAAAAGCCAACATGCTATCCTTCAACAAACAAAGTACATTTTTTATTGTTTAACTTCAACTATTAAATGTCAGCTTTGAGATTTGGGCTTATAATGTTGTATTATATAAGACAAGCAATGATCTCTGGGCAGAATGGATCAATCAGTTATTGAATATTTTCAAAATCTCAGTTGAACTTTCAAACCTGTTATTTTGTAAGTTGATGATTTATTGGGTGAGCTCAATTTTGAACCAAGGCTTCCATCATGAGAAACATACTCATGTTAGAACTACAATTCTTGAACTCAAACAGAAGTTTTCACTCCAATGTTCCCAGCTCATATGACAAAAACAGACTTTAATTTCATCCAACTCCACACACCTATTTTTAGAATACTGACCAATCAGAAAAGTCCCACATGGTTTTAGCAGAAGCTGTTTCTGATCTAATGACTCAATGAAAATCCAAGACTAATTTCCCCCACAGAGACAGATCTAACCATGCTGACATTAGTGATGCATACCCACAGCAGGCAAGCTTAACCAGGCCATCAGCAGAGACACACTAAGGTGCTTCTATAAACAGCAATGTCTTCAGTTAACAATGAAATCAGGGACAGCAGAAGAGACTTCTACAACGTGATAATTCCAGAAATATTTCTCCCATGTCTCATTCAACGACATATATGTGTTGATTTTTCTCCCATAAGTCTATCTTGTGTTATACCCCAAACAAATTCTCAGCCTCCCATGATTGAAATACAACACCTTGGAACAATCGAACCTTGTAGATCATGGGGGAAGAGGGGGGGGTTGAGTAAAAACTCTTTCACTTCTCTCAGCCACATCTTATCTTTATTTATTATTTAGTCACTCCCACTTTTTTTTCTTGTTAACAGTAAGGCTGTTGCTACACTCACTATCCAAAGCTTTTGAAATCAGTAAGGATTTATTACCCAAAGAATGTAAATATCCTGTAAGCCACTATAACATTACCATGCCATTACATATACTCTGCAGATGTAGCATAAAATCTTTCTTGCAGCTGGTTTTGAATTTAATGGACTAAACATGTGTGCAATGACAAAGTTTTAGAGAAAAAAAATGGATTATATGGAAACAAAAAGGGAACTTCTACTTAACATCAGAAAGAGGCAGTTGAAATTTCTAGGGTACATAATAAGGAAAGAGGGCTTGGAAAATTTGATACTCACAGGACAGCTGAAGGCAAGGAAAACAAAGCATAAGCTAATTAGCAAACTTGAGTAAATGGATGGCAGAACAGGGTTTAGGAGAAATAACAAAAAGACAAAATATATTAAGAGCTACAAAAGACAGGAAATTGTGGAGACCCATGATCCTGAAAGGACATGGCACATTGAAGAAGACTGAAAGACTGAAGAAGATCGGTATTTGAAATTGGTACAGCAATTTCATTTGCTGCATCAATAAGCATTAGTCCAACTGAACTCCATAAACATCTACATTTGTCATAAAAATTGATTACAGATGAGATGAATATGAGAAAAGAAGTGCCAAGTCACTTTCTGTCCTTGACATTACTGATGATTAACAATTGGTGATGAGCAAAAAGCATGAAAAATAAGGAAGGATAATGTGAAAAGTTAATCTTTGGCTTATTGTAAAGATTCAAATGAAATGAAGGAAGGAGAAAAGGAGGAAGTAATAAAAGAAATAAAAAGAGCAAAAATAATTGTAGGAAAAAAGAAAAATAGAATATAAAAAAGAAGGTAAAAAATGGAGGAAAAATAGAATATAAAAAAGGCAAAAATGGAGAAAGAGAGGCAAAAGAACAGTGGGGAAGAGACAGGCCAAAAAAAAAAGTGGAGAAGAGAAAATTGTGAGAAAGAAGTGAGGGAAGAAAAGAAGAGAAAAAAAGTAAACAAGAGGGTTTGGAAGGAAGAGAAAATATGAGAGGACAAAAGAAATCTAAGAGGAAAGTTGAAGACAGAAGGAAAGGAAAAAAATATGAATAGTGAATGAAGAGATTACAATATTAAAAAAAAATCATTAATAGGCCAAGTTGAATAGGAAAACAAGACTCTTGGAGATTTTTCACTTTCTGGTAAATATGAATCAATCAGGCTCCAAAACATATGCCTAATGTCCCCCTTCCTTCCCATGTTTTCTTCCATGTAAAACAAGGGAAAGGGTGGAGAAAAACTCTTCAAACTCTACCCACCTTATCAATAAAAGTTTTTCTTTGAAATTGAAGAAAAATGAACAAAGCCTTTTACTTACTCTTATCTATTTATTACTTATTTTTTAGTGAAATGAGTGACATGTCAGCTTTCATGTTAAGAGTTGAGAAACACATAAAAAGGAAATAAAAAGTTTAAACAAAAAGAATGACTAGTTGCAGGTGGCATATGGTCAACAACTTGATATTCTAGTGAATAAATGGAGACGTTTTGGAAATCTCCTCCTCCACATTTAATAACTTTCTATTATTATGCAGGGCCATCCAAATTTTTAGAGGATATAAAACTTTTATTGCAAAAATCTCCATCAAAACAAAAACACAATGGAGGCGGGGGAGGTTTAAGACATATGTTCCCATCCCTATTTTTTATTATTATATTTATAAAAAAAAAAAAAAAAAACTTTTAAAATGTTATCCTGAAATACATGGAAAAGTTCAGAAGCAAAGAGTAATTGGGTAGTAAAAGCAGGAAAGATTCAATACGAACAGATCAACAAATCAAGACCAAAGGACATACATATATATACCATAGAATGGCTTCAGTAGACCACAGAGGTAAAATTTAAATAAAGTAAAATGCTGGATAAGTATCCGGGCCTATAAAACTGAAAAGATTATGGAAAACTAGAGTAACAGTAGTAGTGATCTTAGCTGGAGTACTAGGAACAATCCTGAAAAGGCTTGACTAACTGAAAATCCAAGTATGGCTCAAAACCATCCTGACAATGTCACTACTGAAAACAATGCAAATACTGAGGTGGCAAGTGCTAAAGTATTAAGGAATCTTTATTTTATGCAGCAAAATGTGTTGAAATATATTTTGTCCGTATTATTCTAAACTGAATAACATTAAATTGTCAAGATAAACTGAATTCTTAAATTACAGCTGAATATATTTTTTATTATAAATATAATGTATTTATTTAATAAATTCAATTTTCCCAAACTACAGGTGGAGAATTGTAAAATATACTTATTTAATAAAAATGATTCTCTTAAATTACAGTTGAAGAATTATAGCATATTAATAAACTCAATCCTTTCAAATTACAGCCATAGAATTTTTTTAGTATAACCAATTTAATTCTCTCAAATTTTTATAAACTTAAACTCCTTTACTTAAAATCAATGCTCTTAAATTATTCTCTATTATTCTAAATTCATTCTACAGGATTTGGTAACCTGACGTTCAAAAATAAGGTTTAAAGAAGATTGAAAAATTAATCTATACAGAAACTATAAAATAAGGTATAGCTGATCATATTTGAAAGGGGTGGAGTTATAGGGATGCAAAGGGAGATTAACTCTTTTTCGGTAAGACATGACGGCTGGTGATTGATGTCAGTTTACAGTGCAATGAATCTCAGTTGCTATTTAGAATGCATAGAAGTAAAACATATCTACCCATGCCAATTGATAGGTAGACTATGGAGAAACAAGACATGAGTGTCCATGGTAGTTAAGAGACATAGACAACACCACCAGCCTTCCTGTTTTCCCTTTAGGAAATATTATAAGACACTCATGTTTTTTGTCCCCTTTCAAACTGTTGTTGCATTTATATATGTTATAATTTCTCTGTGTGGGACATATAGTGATATGTATAGATATATTTGTATATAGTTTCTTGTATTTCTTTTGATCAGCAAAAAAAAATATTTCTTTGAGAAAATGCATATTTGTCATTCCTTTCTTTCAGTTATTCTGTTCCATCTGTGACATTAAGTTATGTATATCCATGGTATACTAACACTATAATGCCTATAATCAGGAAATGCAAACTAGAAATATTCTTTCTTGCCTGGCACCCTCATTAAAGTCAACACATGTAAAATTAAGTTGAAATTCACATACTCTGGCATCACAAAGACAAAAATAACTAAAAAGAATTAACTGACAAAAGATATCCTCTTTGGGCAATCAAATGAGAATCATCTATTTATTTTTAATTTTCAATAAGGATTGTTAGTATTGACAATTGCACACATGGTCTTTCAAATTTCTGTTGGGGCACACCCACCTTCTAACTAGTAATGGACTGGTCCCTCTTATATAAGTCAGCTCTGGAGAGAGAGTGACAGAGCGTCAGAGAGAGAGTCAGCGTTAGCAGTCCAGATAAGCTTACCCGGTACATACCGTTGGACTATAGACTTTGGATATTGTTTCGTACTAACCAACCTTCGTTCTACTAATCACTCTATTGTTAATTGCTTTTATGAATATACCAGTATTTTCCTCTACAACTGTGTCTGTCTTGATTCATACACCGACACGCGGGAAACTCACAACATCTCAACAATTTCCCTTCCACATTTCCAATGTGAGCTGTTCTAAAAAGTTATTTGCTTCTTTTTGTGGAGTCTGATGGTGATTGACAACTGAGAAGAAGTCACATGATTTATGTTTAGAACTTCACATAAAGAATGGTGAAGTTTGATTTCCCCGCTCCCTGTAAAAAGATTGATTTCAGAAATGATATTTCCCTAATCACAATTCTGGCAAACATCTTAGAGCTATTGGTTTGGTTTGGTTTGTGTTACGGCATATCAACCTCAATGGGTTATTTAATACCAACAAGATTTTTATTGCTGATAATTTTTTTTCAAAAGAGTACTTGCTGGTAATAATTTTTCTTCAAAAATGTATTGCTAGTAATAATTTTTTACATAGTATTTCTGGTGTTAAAACATAATTTTACACTTTCATAGTGTTTTAACCTCAGTTTGGGGTTAACTATTTACCCATAGCTGGGACCCTAACAGGTGCTACCACCCCGAGTCAGGGTGGGTCTGGGAACACCAGCAATTAAGAGGTGGTTCCATACTCCTTAAAATCTCCCAATCAGAGGCCTTGCTACTGGACATAGTTTATTGTCTTACCCAGGACGCAAATGTAGTTTATCATCATACCCAGGACAGCTTAAAGCTATTGTAAAAGGAACATGTTGAAAATGGCTACTTGGACTTGTATAGCCAAGCAGCAGCATTCTTGGTAGCATTTCATGTGGGTGAGTAGCCAAATTCCAGAGGAATCAAAAGGCAAACAAAGAATTTTAGAAAACTCATTTAAAATAATGTTGAATTTTGTTAAAATTTCTTGAGGGAAAACATTGATAGATTCTTTGGCGTTGCTTTAAAAAACAAATAATGGTCATTATGAGACAGTCTTTATGCTATATGTTCTGTGATAACTTAATTAAAAAATTGGTACAACTAAGTTTCATTCCAAAGGTTGATCTATTCTCCAGCCTTCCTCATGTTTACAATCAATATGGAAAGAGAGATCTCTTTTTTTCTCATAGGTAATATCTACCAATCCACTCTTTTTAACAGAAAAGGACAGTAAAATAAACAAATAAAATAAACATTTCTAAAATAGTAGCACATATATTACTTGGACCAACCCAATATACACAAGCAATACTTGGGAAACTGTTTCAATTCAATAGCAGAATATCTTGATTTCACTTAAAGGCATCATGTCATCTTTCTTGAGTACAGTCATCATCATTACTACTACTAAATATTTAAACTTACATATATATGTTTTTATTACACTTACTGTTGTAATCTGGAAAAGGTTACTGAATACAAATAACCAAAATGAAGGTTGGAAATGGAACGGTAAACTTTATAACATTAACAACATACAAAATTCACCAGCGGCGTGTAGTAAGTAATCCACTGCTAGTGGTGAACTAATGGTGAATCCCCCAGACAGTATATTTCATTGTATTTATGAGGATTGGGACATACCCATTATAGTCCATAGGTACGGTATAACACTTACCAACAGAAATTGCTATACTGGTGCCTGGTGCCAGGTGCTTCTTGGTACATAACACCTCTTCTTGAGGTTTCTGTAATTGAATTGTTTTGTGGGGTGGAGTGTGATTGGGCCCACATCCAAACTCTTTACTCTGAATAAGGGTTGGTTTTCTATTAGACAACCATGTGTTCCCACACTAACAAGTTCATCAACCCAGGTTTAGGAATTCTGTTTTCTTTCTCCTACACTGGTTGCCAACAAAGAATAAACAACCCAGTCTGCTTTTCCTATTTAAACCACAGCTGGGGTGGGAAGAAGAGATGGATTCCCAAGGCTAATTCTACAAAAATGAATACAACAAACTCAACTGGAATTCAAACTCAACCTGTCAATTTCTTGTCCATAACCACTAACAATTATGCCACCCGTGACACAAGACGACTATTTTTTTTTTTCTTTTGGTAAGCAAAATTAAATTTATTATGCTATAAAGAATGAAATTAATGTGTGTCCTTGCCACTTAATTTGTTTTGAGTTTATAAGCCCCCCACACACACACACACAGCCATACGATGCAATTGTGCAATATGATCATTTTTTTTTTGTATGGTAAGGAAGATATTAAAAAAATAATTAAAAAAATGCTTGAACAATTTTCTACCATTAGTTTCTAATTTGATTAAAATTTATTTTTTTAGTTGGAAAACAAAAAGGAAAATAAAAACTTTGTAAATATTTATTCAAATCAGTGTATATATTATAATTCGTTTTAATTGTAATCCTGTTAATTAATGATAAAACATTTTAATTTCCTTTAACAAATTCTAAATTACACATCATTGTTTGTAAGATTTGAAATTTATTGCATGGATAGACTCTGATATGACAGCTATTAACAGGCAATAAAAAATGAAAAAAACTGATATATCTTTCATTTGAAAAAAAAAAAAAAACATATCATGCTCAGAATTTTGATCAATTCCATGGTATCCACCCACCAAAAAAAGGAAGAGAACAAAAGAAAATGAGGAAAACAGAAAAAAGGAAGAGAGATTGACAGACAAACAAAAAAAAGAAAGAAAATAGAGAGAGGGATGGGAGGGAGGGAGAAAGTGAAGAGTGGGAGACAGAAAGTGAAGAGTGGGAGACAGAAAATGAAGAGGGAGAGGGATTGACAGAAAAATGGAGAGATAGTGACAGAAAAAGGAAGAGAGACAAAAATGGAGAAAGAGAGAGAGAGACAGAAAAAAAGAAGACACAGAAAGGGAGACAAAAAAAAAGAATATTATTTTGCCCACAATTTTAAAATCTTGATGCGAAGCAGATTATTTTTCATTTATAAAAATTGGGCTCAATATATTTTAACCCAAAGTACACTTCCAAATTTCAAGCAAATAAATAATTAACAATAAAATAAAAATAGCTCAGTCCTACATTTTTTTTAGTTTATAATTCTTTGACTATATAAGATCTAACCAATTTAGAGAGACAACAAAAAAACACATCAACTTTTGATCAATCGCATTGAAGTTTTCACAGATTTTATATAAACCTGTGCATTAATTTTACAGAGAATTGAATGATCAAGATTTAACTGGTATTAATGGCTTAAAACATTTTTATGCTTCTTGAGTTGTTCATTCAATGATTTGATCTTTACAAATCTTTGATTTAAGGATAATTCACATTTTTTTTTTGTTTGGTCCATCGTTCTTTCTTTGAATTCTGTTAGAAAATGATTTCTAGGTCATTTCGTGTGAAGAAAAATAGAAGTGGGTACTTAATAAGTGAAATCCCTGTTAGTGCAATTAGTTGATATAGTAAGAAAATTTAATTAATTTTATTCTTTTATATATATATATATATATATATATATATATATATATATATATATATAAAAAAAAATCTTTACTAATTCTATAGTACCTTATAAAATAATAAACCATTTTTATTGCAAATCTCAGATCATCACTTTATGGTATTAATGATCAACATGGATAGAAAATAAAGAAAAAACTTCTAGACTTAAACTTAGATTCATTTTCCTTAGGAAACCCTTTTTAATATGACTGCCACCTTATGAATTAGGCCAAAGATAGACAGCTACAATCATAATCTATGCAAGTATAATGAATAGGGTAGACAGTCTATAGTTTGTAATAAAAAGAAAAGAAAATTTAAATGAAAGCAATAATTAATCCTGATATACATGTTAGACAAGTGTTTCTACAGAAAGATGCCAAGAATACCATGGATTGAGCATGTGAACAACAACAAAGTTCTACAGACAATGACAACAAAAAGGATACTTCATGATTCTACTTAACATCAGGAAGAGACAGTTGAAATTTCTGGGGCACATAATGAGGAAAGAGGGCTTAGAAAATCTGATACTCACTAGACAGATTGAAGGTAAGAGAGACAGAAAAGCAATGCACAACCTACCTGCTGAACTTGAATGAATGGGTAGTTGAGTATGGTTTGGGAAAGATGGCAAAAAACAAGTTATTAGGAATCACAAGGGAGAGGAAATTGTGAAGAGTCATGATCGCCAATGTCCTGAAGGAACACAGTATATAGAAGAAGACTGCAACTAATATTTTGGAATTATAAGAGTGGGTCATCTGTCAAAACTAAAAATGGATATAGAGATTGGATGAATTGCAATATGTGATAATTCTCCAAATATATTTGTAAACTATATGGCCACATAGATTAGTAAAATTTAATTTTACCAGAGACCAAATATTTTTTTCTATTTTCAGCATTATTTTTAAATGGATTTCTGCAAAAATATTTTTATTTTCAAACTGATTTTGTGACAAATATTAGCCCTGTTCTTATAATCTCTTTCTTCTTGATTTTCAATTTATTTCTATCATAAAATCATTCATATATTTACATTACACTGATAATAGCTCACTATTGTCAGCAATGTTTGCATTCATTCTGATCATTGACAATTGCTTTTTCCCTGATTTATAGTGATTAAATTTAGTGATTAAACCATCAAATTTATCTTTTAAATGCTATTGTTACTCTGGTAATTTTCTTTCATTCATGGACTTATGAATATCCTTTACCTTCTAATAAAAATACCAACAGTGGGTTAGTAGAAATTGTCCTGGGAGCCTTTCTATTTTTTTAAGCATACCTACATAAGTTTCTAGCAGATTATAGATAAAAATTAAGTTCTCCAATTATAAAATTGATATTATATTCACGATATCTGTTTATCTACTTAATATATGATTTTGGTATTTGCTATGTATCATTATAGCAAAAGTTGACATATTTAATAACCTGTTTTATATAAACAATTGTTACAAGCAATGAAGGTATAAAGTGTCTCAAAAACTGTGCAGACATTTTGAAGATTTATCAAGAAATAATTCAAGCAACTAGAACCAATCATATATAATTTAAATAATGCATATGAACACAGTATTTATTATAAATCCATGCACTTTGTTTTTTTTTAATAATCAGTATCACCCCTTGAAAGGCAGTAAAGCCACTAAGACACAAGGGGTTACAGGGTTCTGAAGAATTATGTACAGAAACATTAATAATGAGCAGGAAGAGAAAAGGGTAATCAGAATGACAGTAGATAGCGATTGACATTGCATTTAACATTTTCCTCATTGCATGTTTTCAAATTGATGTCAGTTATGATCCAAACATTGCTGACAATGTGACATCACAAGTAGCAATCAACATTTCGATAGGTATTTGTCTGCATTCTTGCTCTACAGGAACTTTCATTTCGAAAATTGTTTGCTGGCTTTGTAGCATAGACTTTATCTTTTTAATATCCCCAAAAGAAAAAGTCTATGGGGTGATGTCCAGTGAATGCAAAGGATATTCTACAGAACCTCATGTTTTGATCTATCTGTTTGGCAATATTTCATTCAAGTGCATCATGAGGGTAGTGTGAGGGGGTGCCAACTTGCTGAAAATAAAATCCTTCATCTCCCAAAATTTTTAATTTTTCTAATTCTTGGCAGGGTTAGAGTTAGTGTGTATATTTTATAATCCTATAATAAACAGCAATAAGAAAAACTTATAACATAAAAACCTAGAGGAGCAGCTAAAGTGTGTCCATTCGATTATGACGGATGGGGGATCTAACAAATAATTACTTAGAATTGAATAACCAGATTACCCACACAGATGATTTGATTCTCATATTGAAACCTTGTGCAGAACCAGCCACACTTTTAGGAAAAACTGATGACAGAGAACTGGTATACATTGTACCATGAAGATGCCAAGCAGCTTTCCTCAGGTTTTGAATTCAGAGTTGCTCCTCCTCTCCCATCATTAAATTGGTTGAAAAAGAGATGGAGTTATACCTTTCCCAAGGTATTCTTTTGAAAAAGAATCCGACACACTAGATGGAGGCTTTTATTTATATATAAATAAATCCATATTAAAAAAAAAAATTTAAATTAAAAATTATTTTAAATTCTCTTTCATTTGTGCACATGTAGCTCCTCTTTTTTCTTTTTTTTTTCTTTTTTTCACTTTTCTATCAGGTTTCTCCCATGCTAATTCTGGGGGTGGCTTCAAACTTTTGAACTGTAGTGTATTATATTTTCAATATAGTGATTTACTAAGTGCTTCTTAGATGTGACACAAGGCCAAAAGTATGGGGTACCCAGTGAGGATTGAAATCACTATTCAGTAATTGATCTAGCAAGACAAGTTTGCTAACAATTACACCATGTCGAAGTGCCCCTATAGATAGATAGATAGATAGATAGATAGATGATATTATCCATTGCTTTTTCCTCCTTAATATAATTCATATACATTTGCTGTAGTAAAATAAGTTAATAGCATTTTTGTTGTGAATTCAATGAAGGTTTTTATGCATGTTAACGTGATTGATTGCCTGTAAAAATAATTTTATTTGTTCATCAGTGATGTAATTAGGAAAGTCATTATTGCTAAGTGTTTGTTTTAGCATTATATAAATCTTTCTAGAAAATTATTTTAGTGGAGGAGATTAATTTAGCACAGCTAATAAAGGTTTTTAATGACTGCTGTCTTGTATTTGTAAGTGCTGTCGTTTTGATGGTTAAGGAGGCAGGAGATTTCATAGTAATAGATTTTTTTTGATCAGTGAAATCAATAAAGACATAAAGAAACCTTTATTTTTATTAATGCCTAGTTCATGCCTTCATACTTGTATTTGAAAAATTAATTTTGCCAAATTCCTGTAAAGGTTCCCATCTGCAAATAAAGTGACTAATCTAACACCAGGAGAACCCGACTAAAAGACTCAACCTGTCTTACGTGTCTGTTCTATTTAATAGAACAAGTTTACATACATGATGGTCCCCACTTTTTACAATTTCTGTTACTTACTAAGTCCTAGAAATTAACAATTTATAAGTGTTACTTAATAATGGAAAGAGTCATGATGGTAGCAATTCAAATATGCCAAAGTTATAAAGCATTTCTGTGTTTTAAAAAAAAAGGTTAATACACTTGATTTAATGAAGAAAATAATTGCATGAAGTTATTTATGATCTCCAGTAAGAATTCATCATAAATTAAGTTTTATCACAGGAATGTATATGTAGATATCTTAATATATATATATATATATATATATATATATATATATATATAGATAGATAGATAGAGAGAGAGAGATTTTTTATTATATATATATATATATATATATATATATTCCTTTTGATACTCAAAGCCAAAAGAAGAAAAAGAAATAGGTAGAGAATATAAGGAGAAAAGAAAATAATGTAAAGTAGAAACAACCATGGCATTATGCACATATGCACATGCATGCACACACAAAATACAACCTAACACCAATAAATAATGCATAAATTATTTTTTTAACAGTATAAAATTAACAAAAATGAGAAAATTTGCAGTCAATTGCTGAAACCTCCTGACAAGTGGACTGAACAACTACAAAAAGGTTCAGCTATGAAACTCTGGAGCCAGAGTGCTGAATATAACATCTATCAGCTAAGTAAAAAAATTTATATTTTTTATTAATCCTATGTATTTCGAAAATAATATCCAATAATGCATTTCACCTATAATGGCTTCATCAGATGAATAATAAAAAAAATGTGTTGTGTGTGCTGCATTTGTGTGTGTGTTTAAAATAATTAAATCTTCTATTATTTTTCACAAGGTGGCATTGCTCAAGACTAAAAAGAGAAAAAAAATGAGTGACTTTTAAAAAAATCATTTAACATTTTATATTCCCCCATCTTAAAAGCCCAAGTTTAGAGAATGGAAAATCCTTCAGAATAGGTAGAAAATAAATGAAAGAAATTGTTTTTATCCATGCATTATTCATGTTGACAGTATGTAATCAATTTGAGAATGTAATCCCAACAGAGTTATAAGTTACTGACATTTGGAAAAACGTTCATGAAAGTATATTTCGAAAATAATATCTGATAATGCATATATATATATATATATATATATATATATATATATATATATAATGAAAGTGCTGAAAAGAAAAGTATTTTTTGGTGGGCAGTTACAAGTTTATCTTTTATTTTGTTTTCTTAGATGAAGCATTGCAAAACATTAATAATAATGACAATATTGACTAAAATTTACTTTCATCATAATTGTATTTGCTTTTTATCACAACTTATTTTTCTTTGATAAAGTTTTGTCAATTATTATTATTATTATTATTATTATAAATAATAATTTTTAATTTACTTTCATCTTAATTTTTAGCTGCTTTTTATCACAACTTTAAATAGTTCAGTTGGTAAGAGCTGCTAAGGCTTCCCTGAGGCAAAAGGAACATGAGATTGAGTTTTGCCAACAAAGAATTTATTTCCAATTCACATCTACTGACTCACTTCTTGACAACTTGAATAAAGTTTTAATAAGAAGCAACTTTAAAAACTAAAATGAAAGCAAACAATTTAAAAACTTAAAAAAAACTTTTTATTTCTTGCTTTGTTTTATTGAACATAAATCTTAAAGTATTGTCAAAACAAATTTCACTAAATCTAGCAGACATTTGTTTCTCTATAGTCTAAAAAGAAAAGCAAGGTTTACTTTTTTGCTGTTTTTCTTTATTAAATAAAATAATTGTATAAAAAAGAAGTTAATCAAGAAAGACTGTATAAATTAAAACTACAATAACATTCATTGTTTCTATTAAAAGTATTTTATTTTTGAGTAAAAAGAAAATGAACTTGAATATTTGAGAAGAATGAAAACCTCAAGTCTGTGAGTTTGAAAGAAAGGAATAAAAAAAATCAATTGCAAAAGAAATCTAAAGAAAAAAGAAAAAGTAGAAAATACAATTGACAAAAGCAAATATAAAGAGGAGAAATTTAAACTGTAGATTATCAGTAATTTCAAAAGATCACACTTCTTATGTTTACTTAATGATAAGACTCACCCCTGTATTTCATGCTTTTTTTAAGACTATTACTAAAGCCAGCACATCACAAATATAGTCTCAGCTTTTTCTTTTATGACTGGCCACCTATTTATAATACAATCATTAATAATGGAACAGTTCAGGATTCAAAACTAACATTTTTTCACCATTTCACCATCCTGAAAAAATTTTAAACCATGCTAAAATCAAAAAGCTTTTAAACTTTATCATAAAAATTTGTTAGTAGCATAATAAAAACAAAAATTTATTAATAGCATAATAAAAAATAAAAACACTCTTAAAATGTTCAGGAAATAATTTTTTTAAAAAAATATTAATTTTTAAAAATGAATAAATATAAAAAAATTTAGTTAATCTTTATAAAAATGAAAACTTTATTTTTATTTAAACATTTTACTTAAATCCCTTTAAATAATTTTAAATAAAAATGTTATTAATTTTCCTGCTCAAATTCACATTTACCGTCATTTAAGAATCATCTTTTCATTAATTTTCTATATAAAGAACATTAGCGCATTCCAATTAGATCTTAAAAGGTTTTGAAATCTTATGAAAAAATTTTCATTTAAAATTACCTGCTTCACTTTATGTCTAAATTTCCTGTTTAATATTTTTAAATTCTCCCTTGTATTTTTAATTTTGTTTATGATAAACAAAAAACAACACAAATGTTGTTTATTAATAATTCCTTCAGAGTTGTATTTTATTAAACTAAAAATTAATAGAAAAAATATAATTTTCTTGAATTGTTTATTAAAGCAAAATCATTTCTTACAATTAGATCCTAATACTTTGTTTTTTTAACAATGATGTTCACCTTTTACAAGGCCCAAGAGCAACTCGAGGTAGAGGGTTACTGAGTAAGAAACACCACCCTAAGCAAGATGATAATGCCACCAAAACGCAATGGACTATCAGAAGCGAAAAAAGAGAAAACTTTAGAAGGAATCAAAAACCCAATCCTAAACAGGAAACAAGGGAAATATTTCTACTCTTATTCAAAAGACAGGAGGAATGTGAACTGGATGATAGGTGAACTTATTTACTGCTATTGAGGAAAGAAAAAAATATGTAAATAAATAGTAAATGAAATTTCAGAGTTTAGGTAGAGACTTTAGAAGTATAAAGTTGAAGTAAACTTTAAAAGGACCTGGAAATCCAATCCTAAACAGGAAATAAGTTGTTCAAAACTCCAGGGAGGAGAGTGAACAGAGCGATAGACAAATATATCTACTCCTATTGAAGGAAGGGGGGTAAAGTAAATAAATAGTAAATAAAAGTTCATAAATAAGACAAAAATATCTGAATTTAAGCCCTCCTATTTTCATTTCTTTTCATTCAACAGTTTAAAAAGAAATGCTCAGGCTTTGTTTCTTTTTGTTTTGTATGTGTCTCCATACTTAGTTTATTAAAAGCCCACCACTATTGGTGAGAATTAAAATCTTTTAAGAAAAATCTATTCAGTTGTCCCAAATAATATTTTAGGGGCAATGGAACAATGTTAATTTTGAGCCCACAAACAACTTCATTCAAAAAAGTATTGCAATGGCTAGAAATATTACCATTATCATGAGTGTATACACCGAAATCTCTCAGACACTTTTTTACTGATTAGCTTTTGTCCTATGATATGGTTTGATTTCCATTTGCGTTGTGGGGGAACAAAACTGAGAAAATGGTAGCATATAAGTTCAACAAAAAAAGCTGAAGACAAGAAATTGCATGGGGAGAAAAGTTTCAAATACATCCATTTCGAGATATTGTCTTAGTGAGAAAGACAAGAAGACATGGTTCCAATATACAAGTTTCTTTATTCATGAATCAATTCATCTAGCACTGTCCTGGGGTAGGTATGCAACATGTGAGGCATCTTTGATGCTTCTACTGTCTTCTTTTATGATCTTATGGTCAGATTTTCCTTTCAGCCATCAAGAACTCCATCTTTCTCATTTCCATCTCTATCTGACTCTTCTTACTCTGTGACTTTGAATGTTATCTAGAATGTGGCTGAACTAAATAAACCCATGATCTGAGCTTCCTACCTTCTTTACTTGATCCCAAAAGTGTTTATTTATTTTCCTACTTATGGGCAGTGGGTGGTTGCTTTGAAACTCACATATCTGGATTTTACTGGTGACACAGCTGACAGTCATAAAAAGGATTGTCACTCCAGCCAGCCCAAATAAAATCATTTGCAGTCTATCAGTGTGTTAATAAATTAAGTGGAAACCCATTATGTCACATTTGTGAAGGATTCAACTAGATAATAAATAACAATTGTTAATTACTAGAAAGTTAGTCTCAAAGAAATGCAATGAGTGCAATTCTTAACAGAGCCCAAAACTTCTAGCCCAGGTG